TGTGGTGGTTTGGCGGCAAACGTTTTCTTTTGGGCTGGGGGGTTGGGTGGGAAAAAGGGTTTTCTCCCAAAAACATTTGGGGTTGTTGGGCTCCAAGATTTGTCCAGTTTTTGTGGGTTTGGGGGGCCCCCTCCCTGTGTTGAGCGGGGGTCTTTCCAGGGTCCCCCCCGGGGATAAGGGGGCCAGTGGGAATTTTTGGACCGGGGGGGAATATTTTGGGGGGGAACCAAAATTTGGGGTTGTACACCAGTACCCCCCCAAGAGGGTTTGGGAAGACTACAACAAAAGGCCAGGGGGGGGGTTGGGGGGGGGGGGGGGGCGCAGAACGCACATTAATCGCAGTCACGACGCCCTGCCCTATGGGAACAATGCTCCATCCGCTCGAGGACGCGCGGTGAACGGAAGAAACAGCTAAGGCATGCATACAGCTAAGGCATGCATACGCCCCCCCCCCGTTCCCCATGTGGTCGCTCTCTCTGTCTCTCTCTCTATCTCTCGCCGAAAGTACGACTGCGACGTGTACTGGGAAACCGCATGCCTCTCCGACGATCGATCGGAGACTCTCGAGGACGCCAAGGGCGTGGCCCCGGGGGCGAAGCTGGCCGTCCTTGACCTGGGATCGTCGGACAGCCTGGAACAAGCGCTGGGGGGTACGATGTGGGAGGTCTCCGCCGGCACGGGAGCCAGGATCCACTCGGCGTCGTGGGGCTTCATAGACGAGCCTTGCACGGTTGACGACTCTGCGGTTTCTTTCGACGAGTGGGCGTACGAGGTGAGGGGTGGGGGGGGGGGAGGTACTCATGGTCGTGCATGCCGTAGTCGTTAGACCGTTGACCTCGCATCCCTGCAAAAGCCAGGACGGAGCACGCCGGGTTCTCACCGGACCAGGCTCTCACATCACCAAGCGCGAAGCGCCGTGAGGTTTTCGGGGGGGGCTTTTCGTTTGAGCGCTCGCGGGCGGGCCTTGCGAGCTTGCGAGAGCTTGCGAGCTTGCGAGGTATTGGATGAAGGAGGATGGTAGTGCATGTGTTGCGTGCGTCTTGCCCGGAGCAGGCAGCAGTTGTTGTCTTGCGTATTTCCCCCCCCTCAACAACGCTCGCCGTCTAGCAATACCTCACGGGTGATCGAAACGCCTTCCTTCCTCCTCGTTCCGTCCCGGCGGCATTGTTACGGTATAACGGGAACGAGACCGGGGTTCAGGCCAGACCTGAAGTTTTTTAATTAAACATACGCATACGACGCACGCATCATAAACTCCACAATCATTCCTCCCCCCCCCCCCCCCCCATGCCAACGCACGCGCCTTCCATTCACATGCCTCCC